AAAAGATACCAATTATGCAAATGACCTAATTTGCATAATTAACCCTAAACAGTACACCTGGGGTCCGCGCGGACCCCAGCACTATATATTCTGTAAGATCTTTTTTGTTTCAAAAGATTTTTTTCTGAAATTTTAGGTAATTGTCACCCACAAAGTTGTCTCTCAATACAGTGTAGAAAACTCCATTTCTACCATTTACAAAAAAAATTATATCTGATTTTCTTTTGGGGTCCGCGCGGACCCCAGCCGGCTTTCGATCATAATGGATACACTTGCGTTCTTATACATTACCTTATTTCCGTTTTTATATGTTTTTATGCACTCATCGTATGTCTACCAAGTTTTCAGAGAATGGTGTAGTAATAGAATTAATTTTTAATAACTTTGGTGTAATAATGACGTCATATGACGTCAGAGCTAGTAATATAGTCTGCCATATTGGATTTTGACCAATGACGTCATCAAATTAGCATATTCTATGCATATTAAATGATTTAACTTATATCTAATTATGTAAGATGTTATTAATGTTGGAAAAGAAGTGTAATTTAATATAAAACTCAGAAAATTTTTATGTTCAAACCAAAATTACTTCTATTTTCAAAACTAGAAACCCGTTGCCATGGCAACACAAAAAAACATCAACTTACTAGTATTCATCATCATCATCGTCCGGCTGCGGAGCAGTCGACCACAAGTCTTCCCCACGACCGTCGATCCGCCGCCAGGTTGGCAATGTCCTCTGGCCGCAGGTCACCCTCGGTGTCCCCCAACAGGTTCCGGACGTAGCCCAGGTAGTCAAGTCGCTGGCGCCCTGGGCGCCTTTTGCCGTGCGTCGGTACATACAGGGCATATGTTCGGCATGGTTCCCCCACAGGCATTCTAAGTGCATGTCCCAGGAAACGAAGTTGACGCTGCCTTACCATGGTGATAAGGGGTCGAGTGTTTGTCAACTTGTAGATCCAGGCGTTGCTCACATGGTCTAGGCGCTTGATGTTAAGCATGACCCTATAGCATGATGTGGCGAACGCGTTTAGCTTATTCTCCATGTCCCCCGTTATGACCCAGGATTCACAGCCATATAGCAGTATTGTCACGCAGGTGGTGTTGAAAAGCTTGAGTTTAGTGGATGTGGAGATTGATGGACTTCTCCAGATCTTCTCCAGCTTCCAAAAAGCAGTCCATGCAAGTGATTTCCTCTTAGCCATGTCATGACTGCTAGAGGCCATCATGGACCCCAGATATTTGAAGTTGGCAACATGTCTTATTGGCTGACCATATACCTCTAGCGGCAGTTGTGGGCTGCAGTTATACGTCATGTACTCTGTCTTGGGTACACTGATGATGAGCCCAAGTTGTTTCCCCGCAGCTGCTGTTTTAGTAAGCTGTTCCTGCGCCCTGGGTATGGTTGACTCAAGAAGAGCAATGTCGTCGGCAAAGTCCAAATCATGAAGGGTTTGAGCAGGATGTCTTCTGGATTGCCGAGGATGCGTAACTACGCCTGAGTCTGTGCCTTTGGTTGATTCTAACAACAGGTAGTCTATAAGCACTATAAACAAAAACGGGGCAAGCACATCTCCTTGTAGGACCCCTGTTGTCACCTGGAATGGGTCGGAGATGTTACCATCAACAAAGACTGCACTCTTGGAGTTATAGTACAGTACTTGGATGGCGTTAACTATAACCTCAGGTATGCCATAGTGACGAAGGACGGAGAACATGACCCTTCTGTTGATGCAATCAAATGCCTTTTTAAAGTCGATAAATATAACAGTGAGTGGGAGCTGGTAGGACAGGAAACCCTCCATGATCCTACGAAGAATATGAATCTGTTGGGCACAACTTCTACTTGGGCGAAAGCCGGCCTGGTTCTTCCGTAGTATAGGGTCAACATGTTCTCTGATTCTCATTAAGAGTATCTTGTTGTACACCTTTGCTGCTACGGACATTAGGCTGATGCCTCTGTAGTTGGTCATCAGGGTCAGATCCCCTTTCTTTGGTAAGGGTATGATGACATTTGTGATCCACTGCTCTGGGGGAGTTAGTGTGGTGAAAACCTCTGTGCAGAATGTGTGAATGGATTTGGCCATTACATATCCACCACCCTGAAGGGCTTCTGCAGTTATTGCACAATCCAGGCCTGGTGCTTTATTGTTCTTCAGGTCCTGGATGGCCTTTACTGTCTCCTCCAGTGTAGGTGGTTCAGTGCTGATGGGGAGGTCTCGATCAGCAGGTGGGGGGAGAGATTCCGGTGGGCCACTGTCGTTGTTTAGCAAATCAGCGAAGTATAGCCTCCATTCATCCAGGAGCTCAGAGTCACTGGATGGAGCTGATCCATCGCGCTTCTTAACTCTTGGGCTGGGTCTTCTACCCTTGCCAGCTAGTGAGTTTACTATTTTCCAGGTGGTGTTGTAGTCACCCTTCTTGTCAGCCTCTTGGAGGTTTTCCAACTGCTGATTCAGGAAGTCAAGTTCATCTGACCTGTACGAGTTGTTTAAACTGTCATTAAGTTTTCGCCAGGCCTCTCTTGCTTGACGTGTTTTGGCAAGTAGGTATCTCTTCTTTGCTTGATTTCTCTCCTCCCGGAGTTTCAGAGTCCTCTCCGACACCCAGCTAGGAGCCCCAGTTGGTTTGCACTTCCCAACAACCTTATCCGCTGCTTCTGCCACAGCCTTTTCCCACTGACCATAGCGCTTTGTTATAGGAGTGGAGGCATCATCAAAGGCCAGTCCCTGAAAGCGGTTTGACAGCTCAACCTGGAACTCCTTCTTGGTTTCTGCCGTCCGTAACTTTTTCCAGTTGAACTTCGGCCTTCTGCATGGTTTCCCTTTGGAGGTGCGGAGGCTGGAGACAAGCATTACGCTGAGGATTCTGTGGTCTGAGTCCAGCTCCACAGAGTTGTATGCCCTACAGTTCCGCAGGGAGTTTAACCATTTACCATTTATAAGGATGTGGTCAAGTTGTTGTGTAGACCCCCCTGGATGCATCCAGGTCCAGAGGCGCTTACTGGGTTGGGGAAATCTACTTTGCGCTGGGCGAAGTTTGTGCTCTTGGCAGAGGTTCACAAGACGCTCCCCGTTGTCGTTCGTCTCACTGTAAAAACAGTGGGGGCCGATTACCGCCGGGTGGGTCACGTGACTGTCCATGCCTAGTCTGGCGTTGAAATCACCAACAACCAGGTGCTTGTTGTGTGGCTTTACCCTCTCTAGGTGGTCTTTAAGTGTGCTGTAGAAGTCGTCTTTTTCTGTGGTGTTAGCTGACTCTGTTGGTGCATAGACGACTGTGACAGTGGTCTCAGGGTTACCATGAAACGTGGCACTCAGTATTCTCTGGCTGACAGGGTTAATACTTTGGAGGCACTTGTAAATATCCTTGGAGATCACAAGCCCAACACCTCCAAGTCTCTGGTCTGTGGCTGATGTGTACACGAGGACCCAGTTCTTGTCATCAGACCATAACTCCTCAGTAGGAGATGATGTTATTAAACGGTGTTCTTGTATACCAACAGTGTCTACGCCTGCATCAGTGCAGCCCATGAACAGCTGATGGGACTTCCCTTTCTGATGGAGGGTACGCACATTGTATGTTGATACTACTAAAGGTTTAAAGGTAGGAAGGCGAAACTTGTCAGAGCCAACAGTCTGTGGTGATGCTCCAGCTTCCCGCTGGCTCGTCATAGAGTCTGAAGGGGACTTCCGCCTGGCTACCTTTGTTCTAGATCGCAGGTAATACTTTGTGGTTTTCGTAATCATTTGGTTTGCCAGAGTTATTTCAGTCCGTTCTGGCAGTCTGGACGGGTGATTGGCCCTGAACAGCTATGTACGGACGGGTGCAGGTGCTATTAGCCAGCAGCAGCTCCCCTGGGATCCGTCCCACCATGGTAGAACCTGCCAGGAGCAAGGGGAGCCTTACAGGACAGGCCTGGGGGTTCCCACATTGCTCCCGATGGTATCGCAACCCAGGGTCATTGCTGTAGCCGTTGCCCGGGGAATACCACTAGGAGGTTAGCACTCTGACTTAATCCCCAAACTAGTATTAAACTAATATGAACTTTTTTCCAGAGACATTTTAGGAAAGGTCTCCAAATTTGATACTTCTAGCGCAAGCCGTTTAGCCGCTATCTGAGATCAAAGTTGGGCCTCAAAAGCCCCTTCAGTCTGAAATGGGTTTAAAAATCGGGTATTTCTTCTTGTCTTCTTTTCTTCACCAAAAAATGGAAAAAGTTCAAAATGTATGATTTTTGTATGTAATGTGGACACAGAGGTTCCCACATCGGTTTGCAAAACAATTGAGCTGGTAGCATGTTGATAATTTCTAAAAATTAGCAAAAAAATGTTCTGGGGTCCGCGCGGACCCCAGGTGTACAGATTAATCAGTCCGGGAAGGTGTACTGTTGAGGGTTAATGGGAAAATTCTGTGACTTCTTATTAGTGAATGATGGGAATCCTATACCTTGTGACATGTGTAAGTTACTTAAAGGTTAACATCACTATGCCTATATTATGGTAATGTAGATGTCATTTGCATAATTAATGAGGACGTGTTGAAATAAAGTATGACAAAGGAGAGGAATTTTACTGTAAAAATATTGTAATTTGAATTTAGAAAACCATAAATTGAACAAGATTGTACTAATTACGACCTTATTTCCATAGTCAATGAGACAAAAAACATTTACAAAAACTCATATATTTCAAGGAGGTATGAGATCTCAGAATTCTTGTTTCTGAATGTCTTCAGCCTATGCAACCTTCCAGAGCGTAATAGCTCCAAACACGGCCACTAGAAAACATGCAAAATTTTTTTTGTGTCATGGAAAGGTGAGGAAAACAACAGAAGACACTGCACTAAGACACAGCACGAGCATGTACAAGTTTATTTGGCTGACCATGCACAAAATCCCTTAACGCCGTGTTAACATTTCAAAACGTTTGAAGAGCAATAATATATTTCATGAATTCTGCGTGCGTTTTGAAAATGTCTACACCGATAAAAGCAAAACACTAAAGAATAGATAGATACGCTGCTATGCCGATGTGTATTTTCACCACACAGAACTAGAATTAGAGCTAGATAATTTATCTAGCTCTAGCTCTAATTCTAGTTATGTGGTGAAAAATAAGTCATAAGATACATTAATGAAAATTCACTCTTAAATCGATAGATAACTTGTTTGCTTGTGTACAATAAGACTAACTTCAATATCTATTGTTAGTACGTGCATCATCGGGTGCTACATGTATGCTATGCTATGCTACACTATTGGTTTGGCCGTTTCTGGTTATCTGGCAAATTTTCGGGTAATATTAAGACGAACACTAACAAAGGCTAGACTATTTTAGGCTATTTTATGCTATCATCCTTTCTTGTAGAGATTTTCTAAACAATTTTGTTTCAGTGTTTCATACAGCCAAAGCCTTGTCGGTTTATTAGACAGCCATGAGATACAGAATCTGACCGCCCAGTGCAGCCGCTGTCATCCAAGTCATGGCCTGGTCCTGAGAACCACAGCTTACGTCATAGAGCCCTGCAACCAAAACAAATAAGAAATATGAACAACAGCAACATAACTAATTCTACGGTCACATTTCTAAACCGGGGCCCGGCCGGGCAGCCTTGTGGAACGAAAAGTATGGTATAAAAGACAACAAAGCACGCGAAAAGTTGAAAAAATATTAACTAGTTGCGTATATTATTGATATAAAATGTTCATTTTTTGTTGTCGAAACAGCCCGGTTTGGAAATGTGACCTTACCATAAAGTGTGCCCCTGCCGAAAAAATCAATTCTTTCAAAATTTGGCAGCTAAGTTATCAGGCACATGCATATACGGCAGACATCGTAAAGAGAGTTATTGGCTTTATAACCTGTTTGATTCTGGAACGCTCCTTGACCACTTGTCGGTTCTGCGGTCGGTCCGATGCTCCCCGTGGTGCCGGTTTGAGTTGACATGCGGCCCGGCGCCTTACCGCCGCAGCCCTGCTCGTCCTCCCCTGCCGCACAGTCCGGGTGTCCGTCACAGATGAGATGACCGTGCACGCAGTACGGGTCCGCAGAGCCGGGCAGGCTGCAGTAGAACGTCCCGCAGTCTTCTGTCTCACGGAGGAAGAAGTCTACACGATCACAGTCCTGCTCGTCCTCTTCCTCCGAACAGTCCGCGTCACCGTCACAGACGAACGCGTCAGGAACGCATGACGCGTTACCGTAGACAGACGTGCAGTTGTGGCTGCAGGAGCCCCACTTGTATCCCAGGGACTCTTCAACTGTAACAACACAGTTGTAATCATTTGAATATACTAGTAAATAAGTGCGGCCAAGGCAAGTTGCCAACTGTTGCAATAGGTAAGTAGCATCATTACATATAACAACAAAATAGCATTTACTAACTCAGGAACATGTTTTTATTGCAATTAAACACATCTAATAACCACACCAGCCTCACATATTGAAAGGCCATACATATAGAATACAACACGGTGTATTCCGTATCACCCGAGGTTTCAGTCCGACCGCGGGTCAGATCGCCCAAAGGCCGGATGGAGATCCGAAGCCCACGGGAGGGCTGAGACCGAGGGTGATGCGGAATACACCGTGCTATATTTTGTCTGTCATTTCACCACATGAGGCAAAATTTGGTGCCCCTAAACCACAAAAAAATGCAACAACATCGCGCGGCTCAGGCGAAACCCGTTGGGATTATTCTATGGTACATATGGAAGTCCGTGTGATAAACAAATAGGACCCAATGCAAGGAATGACATCAAGTGCAAAGTTTTGGGAGACGACTACAAGCAACTGCCGGTGAAGCAGCCAACCTTGCTAGCGACAAGAGGAAGTGGAGGGCTCTTGCAGTCACCTGCGTTGCAGCCGTCCGATGATGATGATGATGATGCACTAAACCTGTATTGTGAAGGCTATGTCTTACTAGCACAAATCTTCATTACGGTTCAGACTTACTGTTGCTGGGTCGTTCGTCCTCGCCGCCAGCACAGTCCTGACGCCCGTCCCCCAGCTGACTTGTCGGCAGACAGGTGACGTTGTTACCGCAGGTGAAAAAGCAGTGTTTGGGTACTCCTGTCACGGAAAGTACACAACACATGCATACATAGAAACAAGGCAAAGCCCTATGAATATAGAGATTTTCTTTATTGACACAACAAAAAGTACAGGGACTTTTGTATGGTCTTCTACAACTAAAGATCCAATACATGTAGTAGGAATTTACTCAACACAACCTATTTCCTCGATGTCACAAATATCATTCAACTGCAATATGATATAGGCCCTCATTTTCAAAAAATTGCAAATTTTTGCTGAAATCTAAAAAAAATATTTTTAAGATACGTCCATATTTTGTACGAAGGCACCATCCGCCATTTGCCCTGGAAGTCAGCCCTTTTTTGGCCTACCCCCTCCCCATCACCTACCTTGCACACAGCCCTGCTCGTCTCTACCATCTAAACAGTCCTGTAGTTCATCACAGATCCAACCACTCGGGATGCAGGAGTCACTTAGAACAGTCAGACATTCCATCGCACACTCTTCAGGAAACACAAAGTGCAAAACATGAGTGCCTCTCATCTGTTATCAACCCACTATTTCGTCCAATATATGGATAAGATTCACGGATCATACTGATCAATGTAAGGTTCAGAGAGAGCTTACTGTAATATAGAAATTTAAGTGATGGGGAGAACAGAGAGAAGACAGATTGATAATGACCGAGACTAGTTTCATCAGGTTGCTGTTTTTTCTAGCAGACGTTACGGTACGTCTGTCAAATTGTAGATACTGTATGTTCCCTGTAACTGTTGTTTGTTTGTTTGTTCTTTCCTTTCAGTCACAACAAGTAATTTTTATTGATGACGTCAGTGCGCGCATTGATTATCGTCGGTTTTTTTAAAAAATATCAAATTTTGTTGCCCTCTGACGGTGGTCAACATGCTGAAAATGGGAAAATATGTAGTAAATGTCCAACGGCAAAAATTGAAATAATCTTTATTGAGTTCTGTCAAGCCTATATGGGTAAACATCAGTCCCATATTTTGAGTTATGGAGCCCATGGGACGCAAGGTATGTACTCAGTATGCGTGCGTGCAACTATTTAGACTCCGAGACTGCAGTTAAAAAATTCTTCACACGGTACGTAATATTTACGACATACAAAATATGTGTTTGTTTAAAACGAGTCTCTTTATTCAGATAGACAAAGTGTATTATAACATTACATGTATAACTGCATACGAGTAAGTTATTTTATTGCTGTCTAAAGAAACCTGAAGACCTTAACAAGGACGAGGAGCGGAATTTTTAATACCATTGCATCAAAGCAACCTGCATCTCTTTTCCTAAAATGTTGTATGACTTTCGAGTGTACTCTGAGAAGTCTTACCGTCACAGTTTACCTCGTCCTCCCCTGTTGAGCAGTCTTCTGTGCCGTCACAGGCCTGACTATCGTGGTACACCTCATCGTCCCCACACGAACTGTACTGGCTGTCAATTTCTGCAAAGGAAAGTGACAACCCATTGCTATTGGGCAAGTATAAGCACACATACACTGATACACACACCTACACACACACACACACACACACACACACACACACACACACACACACACACACACACACACACACACACACACACACACACACACACACACACATGCATGCGTGATAAATTGCATCATATCGGCAGCAGCCATACAATCCATTCACTACACGACCACAATTCTAGGTACAGGGTAAGCATAGAAGGTGGGAAAAACGAACCCAAGCATCCGAGATGCTCTAACTTCACGGTCACAAGCCCACACTCCTCCTCTAGCACGTCTTCGCAAATAGGTCTGCAACGCAATTTGTAAGTTCGGTTTATTAGCATCCGGTGATTTTGGGGTTGTTTCCTTGTTTATTATCTGCTATAACTCATAAACCTTCACTTATTTGATTTCACCACAAAAATAGTTTCAAAAAGCTGTTCTAATGTGCCATTTACCTATCTAAGAAAAGGTACGAAGTGATCGTATTTACTTGTATCCATAGTTATAGTCCCACGGCACACATCCGTCAAAAGCCCGACAGAAACTTTCCCTTGGTCGACATGTCCCGTTACAGAAGACGCTCTGCGATGCACACCCGAACCTTGAATGGATGAATATCAATTGTGGTCATATGTGATGGCAACGAGCTTACATATGGGTTTGCTGATCTGTTTTGTGTTTTTGTTGTAAAAGTATACAACAGAGGAACTCTGGTAGGGAACCGATGTTGCAGTGTGAAATGATGAATTACAATTGTGAACGAGCGTGGAATTGTTAACAGTCTAGCTGAGTGCAGAATAGTGTTTCTTTTTACCTTCGCCAAGAAGGTTATGTTTTCAGTAGCGTTTGTCTGTGTGTTTGTGTGTGTGTGTGTGTGTGTGTGTGTGTGTGTGTGTTGT